AAGGTTTAAGTGGTGGTGGTGTTTGTTTTGATTGGTAAAGTATTATTGCACGCTATATTCTTCTATCGATCGGCATATAGTTTATTCAAAATTTATGGTATCATCTCGTAGCGTAGACTTGTGACACGTAAACAGCTAACAAATACGATCAAAAATTTTCCCTTGGCTTCGTTTGAACTGAAATATGCTACGTCTTCAACTTTCGAGATTCAAAAATTTGACGTTAACAAATGGCGAATCAGAATTCAACGATACCGGTGACATCACCGTGAAACGGGAAAATATTTAAAAAATCAGAAATGAGCAGTTTTGTTCAGCTTCTCTTGCTGTGTTTTTAACTTGATTCTGCGAATGTGGTACTTTTGAAATATTGTGAAATCTACCCGAAAAAACCTGTCGCGCCAGGAGTATTGCTACAGAAAAGAGAAGAATTCAATTTTTTAGATTAGTGTCACTATTTTAAAAAGCTTCGTATATGTCACGGTTTCTTTCTGCGGGTCGCAAATACATGCACAGGAGAGAGAGAGTATTCATCCAATGGATTGATTTGTCTGGGATTTAAAATAAATCAACGTAAACTAAGAGCAACAGCGGCTACTAGATATGCCATTAGTAATTGAATAAAATATATATTTAATTGAAATGAGCACAAAGATAGTCAAAGATACATATGTATAAATCGACATTTCGAAATTAAATATTTTATTATTAAGAAAAATTAACAAGATATAAAAACTTGTTTCTAGTGCGATGGAAGTACACTAGTGTGACTATAGAAGAGTTTGTTATATATATATTTTATTTAATTACTATATCTAGCAGCCGCTGTTGCTCTTAGTTTTTTACCGAAAACGATGCCCCTACGAAAGCAAAATGTTTAGTCATCCGGTCTTCTATTTACAGTCGAGAAAATGAACATCTTGATACATATTTTCAATCAAAGTAAACTCTAGTCGTATAGTATCTTTGAAATATAATCACCATTTTAACATTCTTTACAACATTCAAAACAAGCGATTTCTTCCAGGGCGCAACAAAAACAGCAACAGGCCAGACTAAAAGAGAAGAAGATAAACAAAGCCTTTTAGAAGAATATAGCGTGCAATAATACTTTACCAATCAAAACAAACACCACCACCACTTAAACCTTTAGGAAAATTTTCACGTTGTTCCATCCTTGGTTGTTGAACAATCGTATTTGATGGAGTTTTGTGTTCAGCTGAAAATAACACATTACATTATGATTTGTCATAATTTGTATAAACTCGTCTTACACGCTTCTTCTTGTTTCAACTTAAATACAGATCTAGAGAAAAACGATCATCATCAAAAAATTGAACACTTCTTGACTAATTTGTGAACTCACGATTGAACTGGTTGTTGCTGATGAATAAATGCTGCCATATTTGTCACAATTATTTTGAAAGACGAAATCAAAATAAAACAGGGACGATGAATACGCGAACCAGATTGTAAATGATAGACACTTCTGCCAGCAATAAATTAGTTTAACTAATGTCTTTGTCGTTAAACTATCGAATGAATATTTTCTCAATTCTTCGTTTTTTTCTTCTTACTTGCCGTTTTCCCTTTTTATTATTTTTTTTATGCTTGTTCTTAATGATCCGTTGTTATTCATCTCATGGTCTGAATTATACTGTCACAAAAAGCTGTTACCTACATATGAAAGAAAAAATAATTTTAATATCTGCCAAAGAATAGTTCTGTCTCTTTTCTTTTTTTCTTGAATCTTTGGACGGAATGGCACTGAGAAGAAAAAGCGTTGATTTTATTCATTTTTTTCAGTAACATTATCTACTGTTAAAGAGTTGATTCTGTGTATGCATGAACAGCTGGAATTTTCTAGAATTTAATCACTTAATTAGAAATCAGTGCGATCAGCCATTGAACAAGGATAGTGACAAGTAAAGAAAATACCCTATGTGTTAGTTGATCAAATAAATTCAAATTATATATAATAAATTAGTCAAACTACAGGCAATAAAGGACAAACGTTTCATTTCAGCAGAGAGTGAAATTCATCTTGAGTTTGAGGAAACCTCTACAAATGTCCCTTCGTTTTTTTAACGAAATGTAGTATGTTATAGGTAATCGATCATGCTGATTCCGAATACGATAGCCGTTCTCCCCCAGTTTACAAGAAAAGCCCAAAATGTTCATTGTCACCTCAGAGCTACAGAAAGTAAAAGGAAAAATTTTTGTAATCCGATGTCGACTATCGCGATGAAGTCGCGGAGCGAACGCGTAACGCGATCACTTATAGGCTAACGAAAATTTCTTGCTAATTTCGTGATCGCTATAAAGTCGCGATGAAACGCGAGTTTTTCTATATATTTGCTATTAATCGCTACGCGACTCGCGTTTTTTATCGGTTAATCAATCGCGATTTTCCTTTCT